GTTCTCCACTCTCTGGCGCAGGCAGTGCAGGTTGCAGCTGGCTGGGGGTGCAGGGGGAAATGGGGGTGCAGGGGGGAACAGGGGGTGTAGGGGGAAACGGGGATGCAGCAAGAAGGGAGGGATGGAGAGGGAAACCCAGCAAGATTAAAACCATCTCCCAAATGCTCAGCTGCAAGCACTGCCCAGCACATCCCAATCCAGTGCGGGATGAGGACCAGTTCAGCTCTCCTTGCTGCTTGGGGACGGCACCATCCCTCTGGTCCCACCATTGTCCCCCTGGTCCCACCACCCCTGCCTGCACCTGAGACGGGTCAAGCCAGCGCCGTGCCCACCTGTGATCTCCTCCGGCTTGACCTCCGCTTCAAACTCCAGCGTGATGCGCGTCACCTCCTTGTTGGAGGAGTTGCGAGCCCGGCGGCCCTTCCCCTTCTTGGACGAGTCGCACTTGAGGTTGACGAAGGCGACCTGGCAGTCGGAGCAAGGTGCCGAACCGCCTGCGCACAGGGGGACAAGTCAGGACCTCGTCCCTCCCGGGGGGACGGGCATCCCCGCTGCCCCCCTGCCATCATGCCTCACCTTGTGCCCCAGCCTTCCCGGCCTCATCCTGCTTGCCCTTGGCTCGTGGGTGCAGGTGGCACTTGGCATCCTTGATCTTGAAGGAAGCCTTTTGCTTGATTGGTGCAACGACAGTCTCTAAAAGAAAAGGTGGGTGCTCAACAACCCTGGCACGGGGCAGCCCAGCTGGCGGTGGCCATGGGCACCCCGGGAGCCCCCTTACCGAGGCATTGCTGGCTGCTGTTGGCGGGTCTCTGCTGGCCGCCCTGCCGCAGGACGGGGGTCCCACAGCTCACCGTGTAGCTGCTGTCAGATTCTGCGGTAAGGAGGAACGGGAGTCGGGGGATGCCGGAGCAGCTGCCCGGTCCCCACGATGCTCCGCTGGGGTGATGCAGGGAGGCAGGGCTGCGCCGTGGGGGGACGACACCCAGCACCCCTCTGTGGGGATCCTGCACCAGGGACCCATCCCATGGATCTACACCCAGCGTCGAGCCCGCCCGAGGAACCACCTCCCTCCCTCCCTCCCTCTGGTCACTGCTTGGGTGCTCTGCACCCTGGCTGTGCAGCCGCTCCTCTCCACCCCCAGTTTGGGCCATGCAGGGAAATGGGGACCCCCCTGCCCGTGCCGGTGGTGGCACCGGCGCCGGTACCTGGCAGAAAGCGGGCCTTGGAGGCGCAGGTGAGGGCACAGCTGTCCTTCTTGCCCGTCTTGTTGCAGGTGAGGGTGGCCCGCGGGTACCGAACCTGGCAGGCATTTCACCAACTCTGAGGGACACGCGCCGGCTGGTGATGACAAGCGGGGACGCCCATGGCTGGTACAGCCCAGGGACCCGCAAGGGACCCCTGCGCCCTCCCAGGTCATGGGGAGATTCACTGGGGAGGAGAGGGTGCCAGAGTGTGGCATGGGGACCCTGGACCAGCATCCCAACCCCCCAGCTCCTCCTTGGAGATGTGAGATGTGACTGCTGGGATTTCAGGTTTTTTTAGGGGGGCAGCCTGTCCCCGACGAAGGGGAGGCAGTCGGGTACCAGGGCACAGCCAGGGCCATGAAAACAGCTCCTTTAGGGACACTTGCTGGTGCAAAAGCTCACGGCCAGCCCCGAGCATGGTCGAAAAAGCAACGAGATGACCAAGGGCAGAGGGAGCAGGTCAACACCTTACAGCACTTCCCGTCCAGACCCGTGCGAGATGGACATGGAGCCCCAGCCAAAAGCAGCCCACCCCGGAGCATCCGTGCGCCAGGATGCCCCAAAACCCCCGTGTTCCCCCCACCCTGACCTTAATCCCAACAGCCCCAAGTGATGGAGGGGCCACGGGGCATCGGGACCCTCTGGCTGGGTGATGTCCAGGCTATGCTGGAGCGTCCCTGGCCGCAACGGGTCCTGCCCTGACATACCTATACAATCCTTTTTGTTCCAGTGCAGCTTGCAGCCGGCAGGACAGGTACACTGGTAGCTGCCGGGTGTGTTGATGCAGCCGAATTTGCAGCCTCCCCGGTTAATGCTGCATTCGTCGATGTCTGCAGGGAAGAAAGGAGAGGCAGTGGGCGAGGGGCAGCGGCGTGGGCCAAGCGGGACCCCCCCCGGCTCCGACACTGAGTCGCTGCATCGTCTCAGGGCTGTGATTTTGGACGGATAAATTGCATGACCCGTGTCTGGCTGGAGACGGGGGGATGCACACCGCAGCGCGCTTCCAGCCGTGCCTCCTCCCTGCAGCCATGCCAGCCCCGCGGGGACGAGGGAAACCCCGACTGCCGGCGTCCCCGAGGGCCAGGCGGTGATGGGTGCAGCCCACCCAGGCTGAGCCCGGCCCTGGCCCTGCGGCGGGCTGGGGAGCTGTGGGGGGCAGCAGACGGAGCTGACATGGAAGCACTTAGCAGCCGAATTCAAAAGGCAGCTGCTCGGCAGCCCCGGCCCCTTTCCCTGTGGCGAGGACCCTCCACCCCAGCCCGAAACGGGGGGCCGATCCTCCAGGCCTGGCACAAAGCAAGGGCAGAGGTGGGGAGCGGCCAGGGATGGAGCTGCCCCCCAAACACAACACCCCTCCTTGCCCGGCTCCCCCTTCTCGGGAACATCGGTGGGAGCCAGTGACCCCTCCATTGCAGGGTCACACCGAGAGCATCCCGGGGGCCGTGCTGCCTCACGCCAGCCGCGTATTTTGGGAGCACGAGGAGGGTCGCCTGCCCTCACCGGCTGGGCAGTGCTGGAGCACCCAGCCTCGTGCCGCTGTCTCCCGAGGCTGACAGCACCGCTGCCGTGACACGCTCCGGCAACCCCCCCAAAGCATGTTTCATCTGCCTCCCTGCTTCCCTGGGCGCCGCACGCCCCCGCCCTTGGGAGCTATCTGCCTTGTGAAACTTAAATCAAGCCCTTTTGATGTTCTCCTTCCCACCCCATCCCAGCTCCCTGCCAAAAACGCCGGGGATTTCTCCCTCTCTCCCGCTGCAGACAAGTCGCAAATTGTTCCTGTCGCTGCGTTTGAAGTAGCAGACACCAGCGTCTGGCTGTGAGCCCCGTCCCTGCTTGGCCCCAGCTCGGGGTATGCAGGGAACTGACCCTCCCTGTGAGCCCTTGGGGTCAGCGGTATCCCCAGGGGCCCCGCGGCAACCATGCCATGCGGCTGCCCCATCCCTGGGTGCCCCGTGTGCCTCTCCGGGACCCGAACCCAGCAGGGTGATCGGCTCCTCCTGCCAGCATCCAGCCAGCCCTACCTCCACAGTGGGTGAGCCCGTACAGCGTGTAGCCCTTGTTGCAGAGGCACTGGAAACTGCCGGGGGTGTTGATGCAGAGGTGGTCGCAGGTCCGGTCGAAGGAGCACTCGTCGATGTCTGAAGGAAAGGCAAGGGGGAGAGGTGAGGGCTGGCACTGCAGAGGGGCTGCAGACAGCCCTGGGCTGTCCCCTTCCTGCTCCAATTGCTCCAGCAAGCTGGGGGCTGCACTGGGATGCTGTGGGATCCTGCACTGGGATGCTCCAGGGATCCAGCCCCGGGATGCTCCAGGAATCCAACACCAGGATGCTCTGGGGATCCAGCACTGGGACGCTCCGGGACCCTGTGCTCCTACCCTGCCTGCCTCCAAGCTCCCTCCTTGCCCACTCCAGCTTCTGCTACATGGGAGCAGCAGCCCACTGCACCAGCATCCCCCCCTGCCCCAAGCTCCTGCAGTCCCTCTGCACCTCAAACGGGCCAAACGGGGCCAGCACCGTGTCCTTGGCATGGGGTGGCTGCGAGAGCCCCCAGTTGCTGCCCGGCCAGGGCTCTGCCCTGTGCCAGGGAGGGATGCTGCGCAGGCAGGTCCTGCCCCGGGGACGGTGCCAGCGATGTCTGCTCACCCCCGCGGGGCACCTCGCCGGGGCAGGGAGGTCCCGGCCGGGCGGGTGAACCCAACCC